ATAATTATACCACAAAAGGAATAAAGTTAGCTCTCATTGTTTTTCAGTCTTCATAAGGTTTTATTATCCTTTAATAATTAAATATAATGAATTGGTCAGTAGTAACCGCTACCTGTCAAGCTCGGGGACCTTGGACACTCCTCAATGGATCTTCACTGTGAACCTCAGTGGATACATCTACACAATAGACTTAATGTAATTTGATGTCCCCTTAACAACCATGTCTGAATGCTATAGAATCATCCTGAGCCATTGTACTATTGAACAGAGATGGCTAATGACCTTCTAAAGCTATAATTCTTTGTAATGTTCAAGTGGACTTTCCTTTCCTGTAATTTGAACCCATTGCTCCGGGTCCAAGGACCTCATCAAATTGAGGTCAAAATTGTGTGGGATTTGCCAGGGATCATAGCAAATCCTGTGTAGGGAGCTTCTTGCCCCATGACCCGTATCGCCCCTTACCTCACCCCACAGGAGGAAACGTTGCTACTTGGCTTCCCCCTGTTCTTCTTGATGAGAACACAGATGAGAACAGACCATGTTCTTGCAGCTGCCTCTTACCACAGTTTCAACTCACTTCAGGAATGGAGCCCCGCGGGAAGTGCATCAAAGTCATCTAATGGGATCTATTGGGCTCCGGCCCTGAACCGAGGTAAAACTGTCATAGGACAGGCAATTTTACCCATGTGATGAAGTCCCTCGTCTCCAGGGAAGCAGAAAAAAAAACTTGCTCCCTCCTCATTATGGCAACCTTTAGATATTTAAACATGGCTATTATGGCCTCTTCCACACAGCTGAATAAAATTTCTGCTTTTGAAGTGGAATAGATGGCAGTGTGGACTCAGATAATCCAGTTCAAAGCAGATACTGTGGAATTTTCTGCCTTGATATTCTGGGTTATATGGCTGTGTGGAAGGGCCCTATACCTCCTCTCAACCTTCTTTTCTACAGGCTAAACATACCCAGCTCTTTAAATCTCCTGTTTCTGTGAAACTTGCCAGATGACCCGGGGCTAATGTATTTATCAGAGTGTTTTATTTATCTAGTTACAGAGTATCTTTTCAAGGACACTATAGTATTCTCTCATGACATAACTTACCTTGCATGCCTTCTGAAAAGATAAAGGCAGGAGGCGAGAAAGTATGCAGTCAACCCTCCTAGTTCCCTGTGGTTAGGATCTAGTGAAAGTTAAAAACTATGAATAAAATACATGGCTAATACTTTTACCTGAGAGAACAGTTCTCTAGAAATGTCTAGGTCTCCCAGCATAACTGGAAGTTGACCACAAAATTGCATTAGAGGACTTAGAGATTCATCAAGAGATGTTCTGTCTAGAAACCTCTAGGTCCTCCAGCATGACTGAAGGAAGTTGACTATACAGCCAACTAGAGGACTTTGAGATTCCTAGGGATATAATGTTAAACCCTATCTGTGAATGACCAAATCCACAAAAATCAAAACTATTAATGTAGAGGGATGACTGTATATCCACCTTGTCTTTCTTAACAAGATCATTGTTAAAAGCAATAAAATTGAATGAAAATGAAACAAGGAGATTCCATCTGAACATTAGGAAGAACTTCCTGACTGTGAGAACTGTTCAGCAGTGGAACTCTCTGCCCTGGAGTGTGGTGGAGGCTCCTTCTTTGGAAGCTTTTAAACAAAGGCTGGATGGCCATCTGTCAGGGGTGCTTTGAATGCAATATTCCTGCTTCTTGGCAGGGGGTTGGACTGGATGGCCCATGAGGTCTCTTCCAACTCTAGGATTCTAAGACATCTCCATTGTGTTTATCCAGTGTCTTTATCCAATCAATGAATGTAATGCTCTAATTTGGGAATCCAGATGCTTTACAGAATCGCAGTCAATCCATGGATGTTTTACAGAAAATGGCACCCATCCATAACAAAGCAAACAAAAAACAAAAAAACCGCTACTATCAACTCTCCCTTTTTTGTATATTGTATTTAATAATCTGGTTTTCATGTATTTATCTATTTGCCTTATATGTGACAGACCTATGGTGGCGCAGTGGGTTAAACCGGGAGCCCCCCCAGGGGTGCAATGGGTTAAACCCCTGTGCCAGCAGGACTGAAGACCAACAGGTCACAGGTCCGAATCTGGGGAGAGTGCGGATGAGCTCCCTCTAACAGCTCCAGCTCCTCATGCGGGGACATAAGAGAAGCCTCCCACAAGGATGGTAAAAAATCAAAACATCCGGGCGTCCCTTGGGCAATGTCCTTGCAGACAGCCAATTCTCTCACACCAGAAGCAACTTGCAATTTCTCAATTTGCTCCTGACGCAACACAAAAAAAGCATGGAATAAACTTGAAACTTGATTTTTGTATATTGCAAAAAGCAAACAAATCTTGTAATAAACCCATTAAAAATGACTCCACTCAAGACCCATCGAAGGCAGGCATCTCATAGTACCAAATGGAAGAGGTGGTGCTTTCTCCGGTGGGCAGAAAATCACAAGCTAAGACAAATTTCGATTTAAAAGAAAGAAAAAAGAATCGAGTTCTTTACTTAATATGTTTTCCCATGTTTTCATCTGGTTCCACTTATAATATGTTCAGCCCATTTTGCTCACTCCATTCTCTACCTTTCAAGGACTATAAAAAAGAGGACTTTATATACGATTTTTTAAAAAACCAACACTTCGCCAACTTGCTTTTCTTGTTTGTTCTGGCTGAAACATTCCTAAACCTTCTTCCAAGGCATGCTTATTAAGTTTTAAGAGCCCCCAAAGCAATTAATCCAATTTCAGTCTTGAGACAGTGCATTTCTTTTGCACTGAGCAACTTTATGTAAAACAGCACACCCCAAGTATAGATATAAAACAATCAATTACAGAGAGGTTTTAAAAGATGAGCTGGCCCAACAAAAGTTCTGTGTTGTCTTGACTGTCAAAACAGAGAAAGCAACACAAGACCAGCCATCTAAAACCCAGTCAACCAGATGCAGACGGCACAAAACACCAGCTCTCTCCATCCTGCTCTCAGACTGGAATGTGATCTTTGCTCTCCGTGGAGGCAAGGAAACTCTCTCTGGCCCGGCTCCACTGGGTCCCGTCCAAGCCAAGTCTACGGCCAGGAGCCAAGGAGGGGAAACCCAATGCCAGGGCAGCCAGACAAGGACGCAGGCCCTCTTGAAGCACGTGGGAGAGGCAAGAGGCTGGACCCTTTCCTTTTTCCCACCACACAGAGTGCCTCATGGTCTCAGCCGGCAATTATCAATGTTTTTGCTTTAAGAGCAGACCATTGGCAGAACTACAAGTGTATTTACACTGCAGAGTTACGTCAGCTCCGAGGCACTTTAACTACCATGGCTCCATAGTCTTGAATGCTTGATTTCACGGTCTGTCCTCACTTCTCGGAGCGAGGAGGAGACATCTGAGGGTCAGAGTGTTGTCTGTGTGTATATGTATTTTTCTCATTTGAGAGGACAAAATATTCCCAGATTAATACAGGGTATTTCAGGGTCGTCACACACAGAAGTGATCTCTTGTAGGCATCACAATCTCCAAGTCAGTACCCTCTCGGTGTGTTGGACTGAATTTCACACCATCTCTAGGAGCTAATGACTTACAGTAGTGGTTCTCAAAGTGTGCTCCATGGAGCCCTTCCTTGCTTCCAAAACCCTATTTCCTTCCCACCACTCAGGGCCCCTGAGGTTGCTCCTATTATTATTATTATTATTATTATTATTATTATTATTATTACAAAGTCTGGATGACCATATGCTGGTGTGCTTTAATTGTGCTTTTCCTGCACGGCAGAAGCGAGATGAACTGGATGACCGCTGGGGTTTCTGCTATTATTATTATTACTGTTATTTGAAACAAAACAAGATTAGTACATAGCAAACAAGATCACTATTCTGGCTGTTCTATCGGATCACATGGGCACTTCCCAAGTGTCTAGGACTGTGTGATGTATCGGTGAATAATGCATGCAGATCTGAGTAGGGTGACCCTTTGCAGCTGACAGATGGTAATTTTGTCAGCACTGATACTGTTTAAGTGCAGGCCAAGGTCTTTAGGCACTGCACCCAGTGTGCCGATCACCACTGGGACCACTTTTACTGGCTTTTGCCAGATTCTTTGCAGTTTGATCTTTAAATCCTCATATCGTGTAAGCTTTTCCAGTTGCTTCTCTACAATTTTCAATCAATCAATCAATCAATTATTATTATTATTACAAAAGCATGGCAGAAGGGGGTTGGGCTGGGTAGCCTCTAGGGTCTTCCACTGAAATACTGTTAAGTTTATATTGGTTAAAATTGTTCTGCATTTTAAATGTGTATTGTTCTTTCTTTCCTTCTTTTTGCACTACAAACAAGATATATGCAATGTGCATAGTAATTTCTTCATATCTTTCCCAATTAGTTCACACAAACACTCTCCATCCATCTGCCAGTGGCCTGGCCAATCTGTCAAATTTTATAACTGAATGTGTCAAAAAGTTTGCCCATGCTTGGTATATATACATTATAATATAATATAATATAATATAATATAATATAATATAATATAATATAATAAAATTTCTTGGGGTTCCACAAGAACTAAAATATAGTCCACAGCCTCACCATTACTACACTGTTGCAACGAGAGTGACTGGTCTTGCGAAAACCTCTTATAGTGTTGAGTCTTATTAAATATGGTTTTCTGTGGGTGAGCAGATGGCGGCTACTGGATGGCATATATTCTGCATCAGAAACTAGAGCTGATGTGATATATCCAATTCAATTTGCTGAATCAGCACCCCAAATAACCAAAAACTGATTTATAACCCTTTTGATACTAATGTTGGAGAGTGGTTACTGGTCAAAAAAAGGTTGGGAACCACTGCATTAGAAGAACTCCAAGATCAGAAGAAGGCAGAAGTATGGAAAGTGTAGTCTAGAAGTGAAACTGGAAGTCAAGACTCCAAATCTGGGAAGAAAGTTGGACTACTGGCCTGTTGGCTCTCACTGTCAGTATCTATTTCCCCTTACCTTTGCTGCTGCCAAATTCAATGGGTGTACAGCTGCTGTGGCCAAGATGCCAGGGACAGTAGTAGACAGCACCTCCTTTCGTTACGTCTAGCTGGTTTGTATCGTCTTTTGGGGCTCCAACAAGAACACTGATGCTGCAAGGAGGAAGGTTTTAGAGAACACGAAGTCAGTTTAAACCAGAGGTTCCCAAACTTATTTGGCCTACTGCCCCCTTTTCAGAAAAAAAATTACTCAGCCCCCCCCCCCCCCCGAAATCTACTTTTCTAAATCAAACAAACAGAAAGATGCAGTCACAAATTTCCATCGTTTTATATATCTACTAGCTTGGGTACCCAGCATTGCCTGGGTTATTTGAAAAAGTCATTTTTTAATTGTACAAAATGCATATGGTTGTGGGTGAACTCACATCATGTCAGACTAATCCTGAGAAACTCCATCAGTACTTAAAGTTTGTTATGTTGGGCAAGTTTGTTCTAGATGCATTACTGGTGGGGTTCAGCGCGCTCTCTGGCTGTAGAGTATGCTACAGCTCCCACTATGGCGAGTCAGTCCCCTCAAACCCCTCCAGTAAGTTGAGTTAGTCATGCTAAGTTTGATCCAGGTCCATCATCAGTGGAGGTCACCATTACTCTGGTTGTGGGTGAACTACAACTCCCAGAAAGAAAGTTCAGTTCCCCCCTAAACCACTCCAGTAATCAAATTCAGGTATGTGTGCCAAGTTTGGTCCAAATCTATTAGTGTTTGGGTTCACAGCGCTCTCTGGATGTAGGTGAACTATAACTCACCCAAATCAGGGTGAATTTTCCCCAAAGGCCTCCAGTATTTTTTGCTGGTCATGGGGGCTCTATGTGCCAAGTTAATTCCAAGTCCATCATTGGTGGAGTTCAGAATGCTCTTATATTGCAGGTTATCTATACATCCCAGTACCTACAACTCCTACAAGTCTCCCCAAACCTCTCTAGTATGTTCAGTTGCTGATCAATTCCTCTGTTTGCTGTGTGCCATAGAAAAGAATAGGCAAGGACTTAAGGGAGAGGCAGTGGGCGGGGTCATGCAAATTCCGCACCAATGGAGAGAATAGGAAACACTCGGATGTCTGTGGTGGAGAAAACACAAAAAATCTAGGACTTAATGGTCCCTGTATGAAAGCCCTCACTTAGGTGGTGGGCAGTATGGGGTTTTTGGAGGACCCCCAGGTTGAGAAATGCTGACTTAGGGAGTCAGTTAACATGGGATATAGACGGAGGTGTCAAGAAGGGCTGTAGCACTTCAAATGGCAGATAATAGATTTCACAATTAGAATAGCCCCCTCCTTGAAATACCACCTACTCACTCCCTACAAATAGAGAAGTAGAAATGTTTTAGTTTGGCCTTTTAATTGCTGTTCTCCGTGTCCTGTTTTCAGAGCAGGTTAACTTTCTAAATGCAGGGGAAGATTAAGGAAAGAAAAAGAGGCATGTTGGATCAGACCAAAGGTCCATGTGCTCTGGCATCTTGTTTCCCTGTATACCAAACCAGCTGTCCATTGGAAGATCACATGCAGGATATAGCAAAATAGCACCCTCCAGCTCACATTCCCAAGCATCTGCTTTCCAAGGCATGATACTAGAGGCAATATATAGACATTGTGACTAGCAGGACTGGAGACCAACAGGTCACAGGTTCAAATTCGGGGAAAGCACGGATGCGCTCCCTCTGTCAGCTCCAGCTCCCCATGCAGGGACACAAGTGAAGGCTCCCACAAGGATGGTAAAAAATCAAAACATCTGGGCATCCCCTGGGCAATGTCCTTGCAGACGGCCAATTATCTCACACCAGAAGCAACTTGCAGTTTCTCAAGTTGCTCCTGACACACACACACACACACACAAAACCACCACAACACAACCTGTGACTCCAATTTCCATCTCTCATATTTGGGATGGGTGGGAAGCATGGGCCTGTAGCTTAGAAGCACATCCGCTCTTGTTTGCTCTCCTCTCTGTTCCCCAGATCCCACCAGCCTCCCAAACCTTTCCCCATCTTTTTAACACAGCTCCCTGGTGCAGGACAAAAGGGCCCTTGTGCGGACGAGCCAGGTGTATAGTTCAGCAGCTGCAAGCAAGCTTTGAGTCTACCCCTCCTGGGGCCCACCAGCCTGGGAAAGAGCTTAAAATATCCAATAGTGGCAATGGAGAGAGACCCACAATATCAAGATGAGGGGATAGTTGCGCGGGTAAGACAGGCAAGAATAGCCTCCATAGCAGCCTCCTTACTGCAAACATAACAAATGCCTCCCATGGAGAGGGCGACACAAAAAATGATCTATGCTAAACCAACCCATCTTCCCTTTCAAACTCTGCAGGGACCGGCAAAAGGACAAATCTGTCAAAAGGATATTTACTTCAAACTTCGATGGAGAAACTCACACCACTGAGAACCAACTGAAACATCTTGAAACTTGAAAAGCAAGAATGGAATGAAAGCAGCAGTTCATGGACAAAGGAGTCAAGGATCACCCAAAATTTGGGGAACTTCCCCTTGCTTCAATTACAAACCACTTATAGATATTGCCTGTTGTTGGGCTACAAAATCCCATTATCTTTCTCCACTGACTTGTGGGTTAGAATTTGTGGGACATGCAATCCAAAACAGCCTTAGGCCAACAGGTTGTTCATTTCACAGTTACCACATCAGAGAAACTAAACTACAGGAGCTTAGGTGGAAAAGATTTTTTAAAATGAAGATTAGGTATTTACTGTGTCTTCGTCTTGGCCTGAAAAACATCAATATCTGGAGATGTTTAATTGTTAGGGGAATTCGAGAAATCTTTGCTGTAATCACTATCAAACCTGTGTACAGATTTGTAACATGAACCAATCCCACTGGAAACTAGGAGCTTTCTACTGAAAGGCATCAAAATCTGTATCTTGAACATAGTTCTTTGTTATTTCTATATTCCTCTTTTGTATCCGTTGGCACAGGGTGGGAATGTGATTCTCTTCTTCCCCCACTTTATCCTCAAAACAGCCCTGTGAATAAGACAAGCCGGATCTCCCCAGTTCCAATCTATGCCTCAAATTTCTACACCATATGCGAAATAATAATAATAATAATAATAATAATAATACAAATAATTATTATAATTATAATATATAATATAATTATTATAATTATAACAATAAATAAATAATAAATAATGAAACAAGAGATCACATCCTTAGCTGCTGCAAGAAGATTGCACAGACAGACTACAAGCAGAGGCATAACACCATTGCGCAGATGATTCATTGGAACTTGTGCCACAACTACCATCTGCCTGCGACAAAGAACTGGTGGGATGACAAGCCTGAAAAGGTTACAGAAAATGAACACGTCAAGCTACTCTGGGACTTCCGAATTCAGATTGACAGAGTTTTGGAGCACAATACTCCTGACCTCACAATCGTGTTAAAAAACCAAGTATGGATTGTCAATGTTGCAATCCCAGGTGACAGCAGGATTGAAGAGAAACAACTGGAAAAGCTGACACTATATGAGGATTTAAAGATCGAACTGCAAAGACTCTGGCACAAGCCAGTCAAGGTGGTCCCAGTAGTGACTGGCACACTGAGTGCAGTGCCTAAAGACCTTGGTCTGCACTTAAACACAATCGGAGCTGATGAAATTACCATCTGCCAGTTGCAAAAGGACACCTTCCTAGGATCTGCACACATTATTCAGCGATACATCACATAGTCCTAAACACTTGGGAAGTGTCCGACGTGTGATCCAATACAACAACCAGCAGAGTGATCTTGTTTGCTGTGACCTAATCTTGTGTTTCAAATAATAATAATTCTTTGTAGACTACCTTATCTTCCCGAGGGGACTCAGGGCAGTTTCGAACATATAAGGCAAACATTCAATGCCATTGAGAAAACATATAAACAAAATTACATCAAGAACATATAAACAAAGTTGCATCAAGAACTAGGACCTGGGGGAAAACCTTCATTCCTAATATTGCTAGTATTTCAAGAAAGAAACAACGGTAAAGAAATATCCAGAGAGCCAGTGAAGTATAGAAGATGGACTGTTGGATCAGGACTCTGGAAGAATAGGATATGAATCCCAAGTTAGGCATAGGAACACTCTGGATGACCTTTGGGAAACCACACTCCTCCGCCTCAATGGAAGAGAACAGCAAATAAATCATGATTGGATTTGTGTGTACATAATGATTATGACTACCAGAATAGTGCAGTAACTATTTAAAACTGATACTTGGGGTGACAGCTTATGATTTTGTAGGTCACTCTCACAGTTCCCAGGTTTGGTTTTAGAGTGTATATCCACGTCTTTTGAAATACTTGCACCTGCCCTTCCCAAAACCTTTCACCCAACCACGCTGTGAATGTTTCCACAGGTAGGCATGATAAGCCTCTTGGATCTAAGGCTTTTTATCTAATCTTTGTTTACAGAGACAGGTCCTTGCTCCAGATAATCTTCCTGGCACCAAGAGAGGCAAGTGGACATACAATAAAGTCCATCTTCACTTCTTTTCCCATTTTGGGGAGTTAGCTAGTGTAAGCAAACAGTGGTGTTGTCGGCAATTTGACTAGAGGTCCAATTCACTTTTAAAGTATTTTTGTTAAGGTTGTAAACTGCACGTCATTTCATTTGTTTTTAGAAAAAAAGGCATCATAGAAAAACGCTAACAAATCCATACAGTATGACTTCTACATCTGCAGGAAATCCATTCCAGCCCTTTGCATGTATACACAAAACCATGGGTAATTTTGAAAAAATAATACTTCTGGCTGAAAGATACCATAGAATAATGCTGGAGGACCTAGGAAATTTCAAGGGAGGCTATATTTTGCCAATTGCATATACAGGCAGCCCCAAAGTTAAGAACAAGATGGGTTCTGTAGGTTTGTTCTTAAGTTGAACATGTACATTTTAAGTTAAACATGTACATTTTAAGTGCATCTCCAGCCATCTGTCTGTCTGTCTATCTATCTATCTTTGGATAGCATAGGGAAGGATTAATATCCCTGTGGAGTTTCTTTTGCTGTCTGAAGATTTCACCTCACTTTCTGTCCTCATGATAATTGGATTTTGGAAAAAAAAAACGGCTTGTTGTGGAAGCAAGAACTGGTGATGAAGCTTC